GGTTGCCTCCAAAGCTGCCCAGGCCAAGTTCAAGTACTGAGACAACTCCAGCAGGTGCAGGCTGACCCACATCTGACACCTAATGCCCAGGGCTGACAGAGGTCTGGCCCCATAGCCTCAAGGATCCTCTCTGAAGTTACAGCTCCAGCTCCAGGCCAATGAATCACCACCAAAACAGGGCTCCCCCTCTGGGCCCGGGCCTGCCCCACACTTACAATGAGTGCGCGCATCTTCTTTTCTGCTGTGGACTTTCAGGCTGGAGTTCGCTTTCTCGGCTGCGAAAATGCCTGAGACAGGGGGAGAAGGGATTCATTACGTCATTAGCAGGAAGCAGCATCCTCCAAACTCCAGAGGATGGTGGCTCTTGGTCGGGAGACTGTGAGCAGTTCGATTCCGACCTCTCCCGGAGCAACCACCTCCCTCCTTGGAGTCCCTCCCCTCCCGCTTCCTGCCCTGCACTTGGCCACAAAAGGATAAACTCCTTGAAGGAGGGCAGAGGAGGTTCACTCGATACTTGAGAGGAGGGGGACCCCGCTGCAGGGAGCGCGATCAGTGTCGCCTGCCCCGCGCGCCGTGCCCTGAACAGTCGGCTGGGGCCGCCCGCGACCGGCCAGCGGTGCCAAGAGGCGGTGGGGGCCAGCCAGCGGCTCCCTAACTTGTTTGCTCCAGCCTCACCCAACTTCTCCGTCTCCCACACGGACCTCAGGATCACGATAGCCACCCGCAGCGCTTCACCCTTAAGTTTCCGAAAGAACTTTTCCACTCACCTTGCGGATCCGGAGACAACGCTACCGCTGTGGCAAAGGGACCCGGTTTTAATGGCAGCAGAGTCCGGGCCAGCGTGAGGTCATCCGGTCCCTCCCCGTGTGACTGGCTAATGGGAGCCTTGCAGAGCTCCCTGGCCCTAGCAACAGGGACCCGCCTACTCCAGCCTCTGGGGCAGACAGGCCGGGTCACCTCCCCCTCATCTGACGTCCTTTTTCCGCTCGTTCCTCCGCCACTGAACCCGCTGCGGGGCCAGCGCCTCCACCTCACGTCTTCTGGACTCGCGCGGCGCGCTGCGGGCTCGCCCAGCGTTGAAGAACGTGTTGTTCTATCCTCCGACTCCGTACACCCGCCACCCTCCAGTGTAAGCTGACTCCTCACTAGAGTGGGCTTATAACGTAAAACTGTGTTACATTTTTAAAGCCATTTGAAGGCAAGGAACTAGCAGAGAGAAAGTACTTTAAACTATTGGGTCTTAAGCCATCAAATATCCCCCAAACCTGGCACACAGCAGGCATCCCATGAATGAGTAATGAAGGACCAGAGGCCCTTCCTCGCACTGGGCTGTCACTGTGTAAGAGTAGAATCATCTCCATAGTTCCAACACTCTCCGCCACACTCAGCCTTGGGACCAGGATGCTTGGGACAAGCCCTGGCCCTGTCACTCGCTAGCTATGAATTCCAGGCACCCTTACCTCTCTGAGCCTCAGTTTATTCATCCGTGAAATGGGGTGATGACAATATGGTACAATGTGTAAGATAATATATAAAAATACATTCCCCAAGGGAGAACGACAAATGAAATGATGCTTAGAAAGTGCCAGGCTGGACATCTGGCACGAGGGAAATCCTCATTCAGGACAGGGTGGCTATTAGTAGCGTGAAGTAGGGCTCACACTCGTTAACATCACACGTCATTATTCACCTGCTTCCCAACAAGGAGAGACAGAGGCAACGTAAATAAATACCAGAGCTTACTGTGCATCACTACTCACCCAACAAAGTGTCGTGTACGTTGAGCAAACGACCACCAGCCAGGCCACGCAAATCCAGGGTGGAGAGTCAGTTTCAAGGAAATCAGACCGTTTCCTGCCACTCCTTACTCTCTGCTTTCAGAATTCCCTAGATGTCACTCCCCTGCTTTGTTTTGTTTTTCCTCCTGTTGCTGTGCCAGGAAAGACAAAACAAAAAGCATCCTAAGGGGCATGGACATCAGCGCTCTGTATGTTTACCTTTCACGCAGCTCTCGAAAGCGCTCTGGAAGAAGGCCTCAGGACTGAGAAGCTACCACACGATGCCAGCACCATCACCAGCAGGACTGTCCTTAGCCCCGTTCCACATCCATCACCACAGTACGGGTGGACAGCCATGCCAGGATCAAGCCCACACGTGCCTCCAAGGCCTCTGATCTTTTCTGCAACTACAACTATGAAACCCCACTATTCCTGTGTGGGGTGGGGGGGGGAGGTGGATATTCATTTCTAATTATTCGCAACCTCTCCATTCTCTGCCTTCCGAGGATGGCTCTCCCAGATAATCCAGTTTTTCTGAGTCCCTGAAAAAGAAGTAACTGAGAAGGTAGAAAGAAGTGGCAACAAGGCTAAATGCTATGCAAGTGTTAAGTGTACTTGGGGGATTCAGAGCAGCTGGGCTGAGGGCAGAAGCAAGGCCAGGGCAGAAGGAAAGGGGGAAGGGTTGCAGGGGGAGTGGCCGGCAACAGCACTTAAGGGAGGCTGTTTGTGATGCTTTTTTACAAACAAGGAGCAGAATCGCAGAATTTTGTACCATGAAGGTTTCTGTTGCTTAACAGCAATTCTCAAAATGGAGCTCACCTTAGGGGAAGGTCAGCTAGCTGTACAGGTTTTTCACATGCATCTAGGCTACTATGGTAAGGCTTCGTGAACGTGCCAATTTTGAGTTTGCTCTGAACAGAAAAGTCAGGCTTTTATTAACAAAAAAGAAGTGTAACTTGTCCTGAATACCCCCGCCCGTCTCTGAAGGCCCTCAAGTCCTACTGAGAGGCAAGAACAAATCCCTATTGAGACCCTGAAGAGCTTCGAAAACTGCTTAAGTGTGCAGCATAACCACCTCTACTTCCCCTTAAAAGGACATCCTGTAATGTTCCAGGCTCATTCCACTACTGTCGTTAAAGGGCCAGTCTGGGGAACTGGTAACTGTTGCGAACTGGTTTTTGTCTGCCCAGCAGTCTTTCATTTGGTGTCTTTGTATGGTTCTGGTGGAGATGCCAATCACAGGACCCTACCATCCTGACTAGACACACTGGGGACCTAGGTCTGGCTGGTTATTGTGCCCCAGCCCCCAGGCTAATGATTGGCCCTGTAAGGAGATGACCCAAAACAGACCAATTGGAATCCTTTGCTAGGATAGATCTATTTTTATATACACACATTTTTAAACAGGCAGAGGGTCAAACCAGCCTTTCCTCTGGGGACATTAAAGTGGAATGACGTAAGCCTGAACTATTTGTGCATCCCCGCCCTTGAGGCGTGGAGAAAATCCTTCCGCAAGAGCAGATAATTCCGCTACTGCAGAACTGAGATCATAGCCTGCTTGCCATTTGTTTTTCCAGTGCCTGATGTCCATTTTACTACAAGATATCCAGTTACAAACCTCTTCCCAGTTACAATTCCTTTTTCTTTTAAGCTAGAGTTGAACTTATCTTTGGCAAACCGGTAACGTAATCGAAGGCAAGAACGTCAATGTGCCAGACAAGCCAGTTTGCTTGCCTTCTCCCCGTCCGCATGACCACCTTCTCCAACCTGAACTTTCCTTCTCCCCAGCTGATACTGATGGGAGCGTCCAAGTTTTCACCACTCTCTGGGATGGGCTCCATGTAACACCTAGCGCGGTGCCTGACATGATCACTATCAGAGACGGATGGAGGATACTGACCTTGCCCAGTGTTTCGAACCAGGGGAAAAATCATTTTTCTGTAGGGCTAAACAGGGTGTGTCTAGTGAGTAGTCAACACGTGACATGTTTGACCTTTGTTTGACGCAAGGTCGCCAGTGAAAGGGAAAGCTTTCAGGAGAGCGTTACCTCGTCTCACTCCCAAAGAGGAACCATTTACCCTGTCGGCTCTGGGTGGGGCAAACGAATTCAAGGGTCCTTACAAGTCCGTGTCACTATAAGTAAAATGTGCATTGATTTTAAGCAGCACAGTCTTCTCCAGCACCATGCTAAGATACTAGTTCAGTATTGTTTTGTAGGACAGAGAAAGCTGACTCACTCAAACCACACCATTACTATATTTGACATAGTTATCCATCCTCTTAGATACCTTATTTGCTTTGCCAAGCGCAAATGTTTCACAGATCTTCCCATATTAAAGAACAGAGAAAGAAAAACACAGATAACATGGCGCTGTGATCTTTATTCCATTAAATGATCTTACAACTAAAAGAAACACGCTTTTAACATACTAACAGCATAATGTCATACTATTGCACTTTAAAAAGTATGTTAAATTTTAAAGCCACTTTAAGAATATAGGAGAAAGTACTTCTAACAAATCATTTTTAAAAACAAGAAATCTGAGAATATTTGTATGTATCCAAGGTAAATATTAACTCCTTTAAGGCTTTAGTCCATGATAGCATTTATTCATCTAAACTGGAATGCTTTGGGACTCAAATTCGATCTTCCCTTGGTCATAAGAACATTACCTTTAAATTTTAGTTCTGGCACAAGAAATTCCTTCCCAAGGAAGAAAAATTTATTTTCAAATCTTTCTGCACCAATATGTTTTGAAAAGTTCCTGATATGGGATGTTTTGTTGCTAATTTTCGAAGTTATGATCCTCTCCTTCCTTTTTGTTCATTATTTTTATTTATGGCTTAAGGTTTTCTATGCGTGAAAGACTTAGGGGTTCAAGCCACAGTGCCGAATTTTGCTTTTTAAAAGAAATACAACTTTCTAGTTTTGGGGGTTTTTTTTTTAAATTCTAATTATACCTGCTAGCAAATAGGATACTTCTACATTCATTTTTCGGAGAAGGCACTACAACATCCTAATTTAGATAAAGGCTCTAAGGAGCTTAGCTAATTCTCCAGATTACAGGCATCCTTACTACTCAACACTGTAAACTCTGAATGATTGTACCTGGCAGACCGCCTAACTGAACCTCAAGTAAAAGCCAGCCACTTGCCTCCAGATGATACTGAATTGCACTTTCCCATCGCGCAAAGTGGTCTCTCTCGCTGAGGTCTCTGAACCACCTGTGATACTATTTATAAAAGTGGTGATTCCAGGCCACGGCCCAGACCGACTGAGGCAATCCCATGTATGAAGCTGAGAATTAAAAATTTTTTAGAACAAGATCCCAGGTAAGTCTTATGCACACCAAGATAGATAAGAACCACACTCCAAACCACAGCTACAGTATGATTCGAATTTAGGGAAAACTATTCAATTGCAAATGGCCTTTTACAATGGGGTTCTTAATGTCATTTTATAAAACCACTTATACAAATAGTTTGTACTTTCATAAGTGAAGCTTGTCTTCACTATGGCCTTATTCCTTGACGAAAATTTTGTGGGATCTAAATGTAAGCCAGAATGATGTAGCCCCAGCCGGCTACCTTACTGGTAGCTATCTCAAATCATCCTAAACTACATTTTAATAGTTCTGGGGGGGCGGGGGGAGAGTTCCATGAAGACTTCCATGTAAGTTACTTTTTAAAAAGAACTCTAGGAAAAAACAAAACTGTTCTTGATGGCTTTTGCCTGGAAAATCAATTAACTTAATTTCTCTAATTTATACATACATACATACATACTCATCCAAACTCACGCTATCAAAGACACCATTTTTATAAGACAAGTAGAACACTGGGTATGACCTGCTAAAGAAACACATTGGCCAAAATATAAAAATAAAAAAGGAAAGAAAGAAAGGAACACACTGCCAATACAAGGCCATTTGCTTCTCTGATGCCAAAAGCATTTTACTTCATGTAAGAGAAGAGAGAAAGACCAGGTAAAGCAAAAACAATATTCACAGGCAATTTTACCAAGTGTGAAAAACCTCCATGGAACGGATTTCTTGGTATACTGACAAACTAAGGAATGACTCTGAGGATGTTTTATCATCACTCATAGCAACATGATAGTTGGCTCTCATTTTGTCTACAAACCGATCTAGAAAAATTTCTCAATGAAAATCAAAATTTTGATTCTATTATTTTTAATATGAAGCTAACTGGAAATATTTAAAAAAACAAATAACATTTAACTTCTCCTGAAATGAGCTCTTTTAATAGAAAATTTTGAAAACTTCCTTTCAAAATGAACATGGTTCATTTTGAAAACTTCCTTTTAAACGTTAATGGAATGTGCCCACATACTGGTGGGAATATGCAAATAAAAAATGCTGCGTGGGAAGGCAGGCCAGCTAGGGAGTGGCAGAGTAACAAACGCTGAATAAACACAGTCTGAACGAAGCAACGTCCCTGACTCATAAATTAAAGGATGAGGGAATTTAAGAAATAAAAGACATTCTTTTCGACCTGGTTAAAATCTCCCCAGGACTATTTATGCCAGCAATGAGAATGCATCATTAACTGAAAAAGCCAATATAAAATCATTAGTATACTGTTATAAGAGAAAACAGGCCAAAGAAAACGCCTTAGAATTCTCACTGAGAAAACTTTATAAACTCTTCCCAAAGGCAGAATAAGTTAATAAAGACCAAAAAAAATAATAGTAATAAGGCTTTTCCAGGGAAATTAAACCAAGTTATTTCTTACGATCAAAACAAATGGTGAATTTAAGCAGTTAATAAATCCTAAGATTTCATTAAGTCATACATTATTTATTTTAAAAAGTCTAATACTTTAGTATTAAAATAAGTTTTAGACACATCCTTTTCTCACTATTAAAGTACAACTCTAGACAATTGTTCTGAAATCTATAAATGTGCTTATAGAATGCATTAAAAGCTAAGTATCTCAACATCTATAAGGCTTTTTAGCAAAAAAACATGCAAAAGTAGTTTATTAAACCCAACATCAGCAATTTAGTTCTAGCAAAAACATCATCCATCAATGACACTGATGTTTTCAATTTGAACTCTATTGGTTTTGTAGGTTTGTTTGTTTTTAATTAACATCTGTAAGGCCTTTAGTTAATAATTATGAACCTGCAGGAAGATGAAAGATCACCTGAAAATGCACTAAGTTTTCAAAACTAAACTTTCAATTTAACAGTCAAAGCTAAGCATCACTACGCAAGTAAAGAGTTTGTAGAACAAGCTGGAAGCTAAGCAGGGTTGGGCCTGGTTAGTACTTGGATGAGAGACCACCTAGGAAAACCAGGTGCTGTAAGCGTTTCAAAAAAAAAAAAAAAAAAAACTGGAATTTTCCTAAAGTTTAACAGCAAGTGAAAAAAAAACAGCAAGAATGTCAGGGCAAGATGGTATGTAAACATGAAAAATATATAAAAAGCACGGAATCGATGCAAGACATAAAAACACTTGAGTGGTAAAGTGTTAAAGTTGTCAAAAAAATTCTTTGAATTCACATGCTAGAAGAGATTCTCTTTTTCCACCTTCCATTCGTACTTCATAATATAGAATTTACTCAGATTTTGTCTAAGCCTTCCTGCCTCCCTCCCACAACAAAAATTATCTTGAGAATTAAGGCTCACACATTTGATGAATGTTTATATAAATACTTGCAGGCAAATTTTAAGAAGTTTTAAATTCCACAATAACTCACCATTATAAATCAAAGGAAAAGACAACAGGTAAAAACTGTTTATCACACAATCAAAGTAAACAAAAAAGAATTCTTAGATACTTCTAGATGTTGTCCATATTTGGGTGGTGTTTTGGTCCTTACTAAGCTAAAGCTATTTTAAAGCTACCAGACAGGTCAAGTAAAGTTAAATAAAGGAAGACTCATGATATAAAACTGTTTTAGTTTCATTATTAAAAATATTAAATGCATAGGAGAATGCAAATAAACATTTTGGATAAAGACATGATTTACTGCTAAGCCACGCGTAACAGGACATCAATTAAAGGCAGTAATATTTGGTAATGCCTATCTTTTAATTCATAATAATGTTCTGTTCTCATACAAAACAAAACCTCTCAAATGATAAGTGAGTTATGTATAATATGTATACGTATATTAACCAACAAACAGTGAATCTGACCAAGGCACAAGTTCAAGTGACTTATCAGAGGTCACATGGTTCATTTAAACTCAAGTTTTTTCCTTAAATTATCAAGCTCATTCCTTTTATTATGAGCCACTCTGGCTTTTCAAGGCATGTTTGCTCTTTTCTAGAAAGAAGCTATAGGAATAAAGATGTGTGTGTGTGTGTGTGTGCGCGCGCGCGCATCCCAAAACTGCCAGCCTATCAGATAAAAGCCCTTAAATTTCAGTGTGTGGTAGATTTAAACGTATTTTTCCACACTATGTAGCAAACAAGTTTCTCTAATGTAAGATTTTAAAAGTATAATGGCATCATTTTCAGTCCTCAGTTCTGAAGCTTTTGCAAGTTTTGTAAACTTTAAAAAAAAGGAATCCTTCTCAATAGAATAAGGTATACAAGAACTAACAAATTCTGCCCCAAACAGTGTCTTACGTGAGGCTGTCCTCAGTCCCTGCCCATCATGCCCACAAGAGCATGGATTCAATCTTAAAAGGCACTAAGCGGCACATAAAGGACTTAAAACTGCATTTCCATTTTTAACTTTTGCTTTTCCCCCCCATAAAGTGCACAAAGCAGAGAGTAATAAGAAAACAGACACAGGCTTAGATCTATATCATCGGCAAGGAAAAGAAATGCTTCCAACAGAAATGGAAGTGTGTGTAAGAATTTGAAGCCACAGGAAAGGTCTGTTCGTTTACTGGCGCCACGTCTCACTCTTCCCAGGTGGTCCCAGATCTGCACTCCTCGGGACCTGGACCTGTGGCCTCGGCAGAAGCCCGGAAATCAGGAGAGGCTGGTCGGGTCCTTGGTGGATCCTCTCGTTAAGATGCTATTGAGCCTTTTTATCCACTGGGGGTTTCCCAACAACTGCATCCCTCACAGCAGCCTGAGTGGAATTTCCAATATGAGAAGTAGCCTGCAAAAGTCCATTGATTCAAGATGTAAGTTAATGAAATATGGCATGGCACCAAGAGAGTAAGTCCTTCGAAATAAACTTTCTGCCTACATTATCAGTGTGTTACAGAAAACAGGGGAATGAAATCGTGGCGGAGGGGAGCCTTGTGGTAGAAGCTGCCTCCAAAAGGATTAGCTGAGCCTTTGCTCTGTTATAGGGGTGGAGTGGGCAGCTTAGCTTCACCATGAGCTTCTCATTTAGCTGGTCTTTCCACGCCACGCGAAAAAGAAATCAATCAGAGTCTCAAGGACTTATAAACCTAGATCTATAAACAGACAAGAAAGTCAGAAGGCTCTAGCTTTTTGGAAGATTTTAAGTGAAAGAGATGCCATCCACTAATAGGATTCAAAACAGAAAATGTTAAGTTCATATTTTTTAAAGCTCTTGATTTTCACTGAAGCAAAATTAACCTTGGATGAGGGGAGAGAAGCACACAGGAATTGTCTGAAGAACATGCAGTTAGAAGTTTCCCGAAGAGATATGTCTAAGTTGGAATGTATTTTTACATTAATAGAAAGTTGGTAGGCATGGAAACAAAATATCAAAATTAAATATTAATATCCTAAAGAAAGATAATAAAACATAATGCCCATCAGAAACAAAATAGCCAGAGAACATTTCTCAGGCCTTCTTTCAATAGGAAGCTCTTCCAAAAAGAGGTATTTTACAACAGAAACACAAATATCTATTTGTGTCCATTTTCAACACTCAGTCTCCTCAGCTGGCACCACTTACCTGCTCCAATACATACGCTGCACCAGAATCGATAGCTCCGCCCAGCTCACGATACTGACCAGAATATCTGATGTACCCCCATGTGAGAAGTGCTATTAACAGCAGTCCAACCATACAGTTGAACAGCTGGGCCACAACCTCAAGACCGACAAAGCCCGTGAGGCCGGAGGCTATGTACAGAACCACGATGCCCACGAAGAGCACCGCGGGGGTTCGGAAGGTGCTGAAGATGTTCTTGCTGCTGTTGTGCTTGCAGAAGTTCTCGTAGAGTTCCTTGATCTCCGCCTCCAGCTCCTCCTGGTAACGAAGGCTAAAATCCTTCCCGCCCATCTTCTTGATCTTTTTAAAATGGTCCAGAGCAAGCTGTCTGAATTCACAGTGCTTCTCCTCTAAAATGTCGGGAGACAAATAAGGTTTCTCTCCCCCACAAACCTAAAAAGAACAAAGACACGTGTGTCGTGCAAGATAAAATAAGTGAAAACCTTAGACTATTTTAAGATATCAGATATTCGTTTTTAAATGATGAAGATCAATAAAGTCTGCGCTCGCTTCCTCTGAAAAGCCCCCTTAAATACCAAGGTGATGGGGATCAGTGAGGGCAGTGACCCTGCAGGAAGCCTGGGCTAGAAATGGTGATAACTGGAAGGCCCCAACAACCAGGATGACCCAAATTTAGCTTTGCTGCCTCATCATCTGAAGACACATTAAACAGGATCAAGTTTGGCCTTTAGAAGTCAGCAACAACGTCTAGGTTATAGATATTTCAGAATAAGACATGTCTCACATACCTCTTCCATGTTGTTATAATACATGTCCTTCGCAGAGGCTGCAGCTGCTAAATTGTTGGCTTCGGCAGTGGCCTTTTGAAACAAGGAAAGTATAAGCTATAAATCCTTTCTCTTTTAACATTCTTCTACAAATAATCAAGGAAAATTTTCTCACCTTATTCCCCATTCTTCCTTTTTTATTATCCTTCTGCTATTTTCTAGGTTTCCATATAGCCCAATTAATGAAATAAATTTTCTGCCAAAGATATCCTTATACGTAAGAATCTTTACCATAAATTAAACTTCTGAAAATTATTTCCTTTCCTTCGATTTTAAATGTTAAAAAGTAGAAGTCGAAAAAGAAGGGGGTGGGGAAATGATCTTTACAACGTCAATCCCAAACTCTAGCTTCCTTTGTGAAAATGTGTTTTCATGGTGTGTCTGCTGGGAAGACCGGGCCCAGGGAGAGGCCGTTCTGTTTTCACTGAAGCACTATGAATAGAGACAAGAAGCCCGGAAGGCAGGCTGCTGGAAAACACGCTGCGCATCGGCAGAGCTCAGCCAGCGGGGAAGGAGAGCGACCGCACTCTCGAAGGGCTCCGCTTACTGTACGTGGGTCAACTCACGTAATCAAAGGGTATCGCTCAGAATGTCAAAGAATTGCTTACCTGAAGCATGGATTTGGGGTGAGGCAAATCTTCTCCTTGGTAAATTTTAATGTATGCCTTAAAACATAAACATGAAAGCCATTACGAAAAATGTCACTCTGTCATATTTAATCATACTTTTAACTTTTAGAAACAGTGACCATACACAACTGCATTTTCCTAAAGACCTAGATCAACACCCAGGAATTAGCAAAACCACAACACGCCTTGGAGTGCATGTTAGCATTTTTAGTGAACTAAAAATGTTCTCAAGCAGCACGAGCCTACCGAGGCTAAGACTCCCGCCAGACTCCCCATGCACACTGGCCTCACCACTACCTGTGGGCAGAGTGACCATCCGCCTTGAGGTAGTCGTGTCACATCTAGGTGCCGTCTCCTCCTACTCACAGCAACTTCCTAACCACCTCCTGTCCACACCATCTTCCTTGAGGAACAATCTTCCTTTAGCCACAGAAATTACTCCTCTAAGAGAGTGCAAAGAACATCCATTTGGTTCTTACACTAATACTGCCACCCAGTGGCCCACTCATGGAAGGACACTGAAGTCTGAAAATGCCTCTCACCATCTCCCCCATGAAACTCTTCTAAGCTATTAAGATATTGAAATTCAAGTTAGTTTACAACCTAGACCATTTTACCAAAAGTCTAAACAGTTTAACAATTAAAACCCGTATTTACCTTAAAATACTCCAACAGCCCCCGACAGGTGACTTTTGAGCCATTGATCTCCTTTTCCATTAAGTTCGCTGGGTTTAATACATACGGTATCAGTATCTGTAACTGCTCTTTGAATTCACTGGCGATATCTGTTCGCAGGACCATGAAGAAGGAAACAATAAGCCAAACGGACTATTTAACCAAGGTGAGCATGAAACACAACCTTTCTAGGTTTCCAACCAACTCAAACTATCAACTGAACAGAAAGTGGGTAGGAACCCACATCAAGGCAGGAACTCTTCAACCTTCACAGCCCTAACTTATAAAATTGAGGCATTCTCATTTCATTTATTCACTCAGCCGTTCTGAGCACCTTTCTGTGGCAGGCACTGCCACAGAGCTGAAGACAGAGCTGTGAATGAAATGAAAGTGGTTTCTAAATTTTTCCAATTACAAATATCACCATAAAATCTGTTGGAAAAACTTCAAGTTAATTTATTTCCTGAGATTATTTCCTTCAATTATATGATCCTCTGAGAGGAATTACTCGATATTATAATGACAATGTAGACTCCTGGAAAACATTCAAAACTATTTTTAAAAACCTATAAAGCCCATCATCAGATAATCACAATTAACATTTAAAATATCCCTATCTGGATGAAAAAGTACAAACTGGCAGTTTGTGAAGTACAGCCTACGGAATATAGTCAATAATATTCTAATAACTATGTATAATGCCAGGTGGGCACTAGACTAATGAGGGGAATCACTTTGTTAATTACATAAATGTTTAACCACTACGCTGTACACCTGAATATTCAATGTACTGAATGTCAACTCTAACTGAAAAATTAAAATAAAGTAAATAAACATCCATACCCTTCCTATTTCAGGTTCTTACATATTGCTAAATTGTTTTTGTAAAAGACTGCACCAATTATACCCACCAACGTATGAGAAGGCGTGTTTACCACTAGACAGATTATCGTTTTTAAAATCTTTACTGATTTAATTGGTGAAAAACGGTATCTTTGGACTTCTGCTTCTGATAGCACTGACAAGAGAATCTGAAGGGACCTTCATCCTAACAAGATCCTGCACAAAATATATTCCATTACACTGCTGGGCCTGAAAGTAAAAGGGCTGCAAGGGGCTGAGCAGGTGGCAGGAGACGTGAGCCGAAACCAGAGCAGTGAACTCAGGGCGGCTCACTTGAGGACATTCACTACAATGGGTGACTTTTGGCAAAATTAACTCCTAAATTAAGTTGGATCCCAGTAGGGAGCGGCTGGAATGGTCCGGGATCAGTAAGCCCCTAGCTCCCTCCCTAAAGGAGCAAACACAAATCTCTGGAGAAAAAAGTAGATCTGAATCATGTACCAAACAGCTGCACAAAGAAATCTGATGATAGGAAATAAAAAAGAAAAATTAAAATATGGAAGGCTGAATGAAATTTAATACATGTCTAACTGGAGTCCTATGGCTGAGAATTCTCTCACTGATGAAATACGTAAATCCACAGCTTCAGAAACTACAGCACATAATGAGTACGTTAAATAGAAAGAACTACACGCATTAACAGTAAAATCGCAGCATGGCAAAGATCTCCTGGAATAAGGTCTGCAATAAAAGAAAGGTTGAAGGAATCAATAAACATGTAAGGAAAGCTAAACAAATATTACCCTATAGATAATAATGACAGTTAATTGATGAGGTTAAAAAGAAGACAAAGCTAAAACACTTTAGGAGGAAGGTAATCAGAGTTAAACTGTTCTACCTAAGTAAGTGGATACCAACCTCCATCTAAATATTCTTAATCCTATAGTCTCCTCAGGATGGTGCCAAAGTATGGTCTATACCAACTTTAAAAAGGGATTAACCCCCACATTGCACACTGATTAGTGGTTTAATATATGACAAAAGTGACGCTTCAACCAGTGGAGAAAAGTTGGACTATTCAATAAATACTGTTGGGACAAATGGGTTAGCGATTCAGAAAATAAGTTGGATCCAAATTGGATCATAAATTATAATGAGAAAAATAAAACTGCAAGTTTTTAACAACAACAACAAAAAGAGTAGGATAAATTCTTTATAACCTTGGAGTGAAAGTGTACATAATATGCTATTGTATATATTCATATTTGCTTGCATATACTAAAGAAACTGCAAAACTACAAACATGTGAATGTATTACCTTCAAAAAAACCTTCTATTATGGTTTCAACTTTCATCACACTAAAAGACTGAGCTTCAAAAATATTTCATACAAAGAACTAGCAAGATCCAGACACCACAGATTGTTACTATACACAGTTCTACAGACCCTCAGCTATTACTGTTTCTGTCAAGGCTGTACCAAAATATTACTTTTAGAGTAGACAAGTGTCTCGTGACACTTTAGATGATCTCTAAAGACTGTACTGATATACTTGCATTCCTTGATTATTGTGATGCTACACGTATAGTGTAGTCATGGGGATATATTGCCCATTTGTATTTCTTCCTTTGGGACTTGCCTTTTCATGTAAGAAATAAAGATTTTAACTCTATAAATGTGTTTTATAGTTTATTCATGGATGAAGAAAGCAAATGGTGCATAATTATGAGACTAAGATTTGCTTATACAGAATTTGTTCCTTATTTTATAAACATACTATGAAACTTAGCACATTACTATTTAGTGATAAGTCATTCATAATCTCTAAGTATGTACACCGGGTTGAACAATATGCACACTGAATGCATGTCCACCTGGAATCTCAAAATGTGACCTTATTTGAAGACACAGTCTTTATAGATGTAATTAGCTTAGATCATACCAGATTAGGGTGAGATTTAAAACCAGAGTGGTGTTCTTATAAAAAAAGAGAACACGCAGAGGTACACACAGAAGGTGGTCATGTGACCACAGAGACAGAGACTGGAGTGATGCCAACTACAAACCAAGGAATGCCAAGGACTTCCAGCAATCACTGGAAGTGAGGAGAGAACCATGGGACACATTCTCCCTCAGTGCCTCCAGAAGGAACCAACCCTGCCGACACCTCCATTTTGGAATTCCGGTCTCCTGAACTGTTGGGGAATAAATTTCTGTTGTCTTCAGCCACCCAGTTTGTGGAACTTTGTTACGGCAGTCATAGAAAACTAAGACAATACGCATAACCAAAAGCGATGCCAACTTACAAAAGCCAGGGTTATAGAACTTTTAAGAAGCTTTTCTTGTTACCTGGAATAGCATGATAAAAATGAATTTTAAAACAGAATGTTTTGAATTATCGAAATGTTTGCCAATACAGAAGAATCCCATCTCGTGTGTTTATACCTGAAATAGCTGACACCACCGTGAGGAAAGAGGAAAAAGCATGCAGTCTCTCCAACCCACCTTTCTGATCATCTTCATTTAACAATTCCACTGAACAACCTCCCTACCAGCAATGAACAAACCAGAGTTTACGTTTGGTAAACACATATCTAATGATGGAGCATTATAACCCTAAAAGACGTATCATCTACACACTCAACTTTCTCTCTATACTCAACTCTGAAGTCAATTGCAACTACTTTTTAGGTAAAAGGTTCTAGTTCCAGTTCTGTCTAAGCAGATTTCTCTCCAAAGCCAGACCTCAAATTTGGATTTCTGAATTGTTGTCTAACAGGGTCTGGAGGTCTTCCGCTCAGGAAAGCTGCCACCCACATAAAAATATCAGACAAGTGACAAATAGAGGGTAAAGAAGGTAAGTCTCTCAAACTTGGTTTATTTTGCAATATTACAAGTTGGAACATAAATCTTAAGGTGAACAAATACATTAACTTTCTTGGATCAACTGAGTCAATTTCTCCTGGTAACTAAACCATATATATTCCTCTAAGTTACTTCCTCAATATAACAGAAGAACTTCTATTTGAACACAGTATGGATTTGGAGTAAGAGAGATCTGGATGTGAGTCTCTGCCCCACCACTTACTAGCTAAGTACTTTGAGCAAGTTACTTAACTCTCTTGACCAGTTTATCTGTACAATCAAGGAAATAACATCGGCTTCATGGAATTACCGGGATCACTGAGTATGAAAGTGACTACCATAGTGTTGGTACTATGGTCTGAATGTTTGTGTCGTCCCACCCTCACCCCACCTCTACCCCCCGCCCCCCCACAAAATGCATATGTTGAAACCCTAACCCCTAAAGGTAATGGCATTAGTAGGTAGGGCCTTCAGGAGGGGATTAGGCTATGCGGTTGGAGCCCTCCTGAATGGGATTAGTGCTCTCATAAGAGACCCACAGAGCTCCCTAGCCCTTTCCATCACGTGAAGATACAACCAGAACTCTGAGACCAGGAAGGGAACGCTTACCCCACCACACTGCCACACTGACCTCGGAATTCCAAGCTTCAGAACCATGAGAAATAAATTTCTGTTGTTTACGAGCTACCCAGTCTACAGTATTCTCTTACAGCAGCCCAAACAGTCTAAGACAGCTGGGAACACAAGTGGGCCTCTAAAAATGGCAACTACTATTATTTCTACTTTACTGGGAACCTGAGAAGCTCAGATAAGTTTACAAACAAAAATGCTCAGGTTAACACACGTTTAAACTGAGGGTTAGCCATTAAATGATTCAAGGTCTCAATGAATAAGGAACAAAAATAAGATGATGGAACCTAAGAGTCCCAACTCTGATTTCTCTAAGCTACCATCTAGTCAGCACTTCCTAATATTAAGGTATGACCGACCCAGCAGCAGGTTTTGTTATAATCACAAATAAGCTGAAAACAATGGCCATGACATGTATTATCTTACCTTTCTTTGGGAAGTTAATTTTACTTGATAAATTATTAGCTGACAAATGTTCAGTCTTCCTTTACTTAGCGCTTTTATCTCTTATAAACCAATAATCATAACATGTCTCTTAGAAAGACCGATGGAGAAACTAATGTGAACTTATTCTGATGGTCACAGTAGACAGGAGCAAAAACTGAACCAGACTCTAAATGCTATTTTTTCTAAGACAACACACTATTTCTCTTAAGCAGTCACTAGATTCATAACTGACATTTTCTGGTCACTATTTAATTCCAAAGATCCAATCACATGTTTAAAATAACATCATTTGTAACATACCTTTCAATTTCCCATCAAACTCAGGGCTTGTGGCCACCTGGAGTCCTGGATGTGGCAGGAGAAAACAGGTGACGCTGGAGAAACATGAGTGAATGTGATTTCGGACATTCTGAATTTCTTCATGCTGATGTTCTTTCACCTGCCAATGAAGATCAACAATTCACAAAAGATTATTTGTTTTTCTTCACTAGGAACCACTAGTACAGGACAAAGGAAAGAAGACTTCCCAACTCTGATGGGTCACAGTGGCCTATGTTTTGTCCAACGAGCAAACTCAGAACCCTAAGAAGCAATAAACGCACAACTTTGATTAACCATGGGTTGGCTCCTAGACATATCAAAGAATAGGTACTAAAGAATTTTGTTTGGTTTTTTTAAAGAGTATTACACAATACTTAGGAAGAACAAGAGAAGGTTTGTAGGCATAAAGGAGGATCTAACCAACTGGTAGTAATTGACAAAAAACTGCTGTGCTTTAATTTTGGAGAAAAGGCTAAGCCTGTTTATAGTCATCCTGAAACAAATAAGAATTCTGAATAAGAACAACAGAACTAAAGTTCTGAATGTAGTGTCCTAAAGGCACAATCAGAACCTGATGTAGAATGTAAAAGGAAAGCTTGGGCTTTTGCCCAGAGTTCTCTATAGTCCCCGTGCATTATAGACCTGGCTACTTTATTCTAAAACATGAAGTGTTATTATGGCCATGCCACCCTGAACACGCCCAATGTTTTCTGATCTCAGAAGCTAAGCAGGATCGGGCCTGGTTACTACTTGGATGGGAGACCACCTAAGAATACCAGGTGCTGTAGGCGTTAAAACAAACAAACAAATAAATAAAACATGAATAGTAGTGTGTGAATAGTCATAAGTATTTAATACACTTAAAATAATTTTCCATAAACTGCTTTACATGCAATAGTTAAAGGCAAATGAGAAAGTTATCACTACCTTTAGGTAATTCTTCAGGTTCTATTTCTACTTACCTGTAAACGTTTATCCAAAAATGACATTCCTCCCTGTAGTCCATAGTTGTATTCATAAGGGAAACTCCAGTCTCGAACCAAAAACATCAGTGTCTATTTTGGAAAAGAGCAGAACGTATTGTAATGCTGCATAAATGGATTTTCAAAATAACAATTGAAATGCTTCTTTGCACAACGTCAGCTTCTTCAAAGGGGACAAAAAAATATGCTGAAGGATTGATCTATTCTGTAATGTCTTAGAAACGTTATAAACACTAGGAGGACATGTACACTAAAAGCGAGTATGGGAAATGTGGTCAAGGACAAGTGAGAAAACAAAATGGCACTAGCTAGTCTTCAATCAGATCTACTTTTAACATTAGAAAGAAAAAGAAAACTAAAATAATAACAATACTTAAAGCTCTTCTAATTTTATTGAGGTTACTGTGCATTCTCATCCTCATGAAACCATTAGCTAAAGCAGAAGTCAGAAAATTTTTTGTGTAAAGAGCCAGAGAATAAGTATTTTAGGCTATAGCAGCAAGAAGCAGCCATGGACAGTACAAACAAGTGTGGCTGTGTTCTAATAAAACCTTAGCTATAGACGCTAAATTTCAGATGATTTACACACATCATAAAATCTCTTTTGATTTTTTTCGACCATTTAAATATGTAAAAACCATTCCTAATTCACGGGTCATGTAAAAATAAGAAGCTGGCTAGATTTGGCCCATGAACTGTAGTTTGCTGATCCCTGAACTAAAACAAAAATATGAATATTTATAGTTAACATTATACCTGAAAGGGTTTTTGGAAAATTTCATCCATTGCCAGACGACCATATTCTGTGAAAAGCTTTAAAAAAGAGAAAAAAGAAGAGTTATGGCTTGTAAGGCAAAATTACTTAAAGAGTTTCTGTGTCTAGTCTTTGGCAAAATTCTTTGAACAGACTGAATACTACTTACATGAAACGAAAGTTCTACAGTTGCAAAGCCCACAGGAGCCATTAACCTTAAAATAATCTTGGATCTGTCTCACATCCCACATCCCAATTCGTTAGCAAATCCAGAATCCAACCACTCACAACTTCCATGGAGCTTGGAATATTTCAATAGCTTCCTAACTGGTCTCCCTGCCCCACTCCCTTCCCCGCACTATTCCCAATTCCCATATAACTGTTCAAGGGTAGTTAGAGCACACCCTGCCTCTGCCCACCCCCACCCCCACCCCCGCCCCAGCCTTATTCAATATAAAAGCCAGTCCTTACAGCCTGATCCCTGATCCCTCCACACTGGCCCTCCTCACTGTTCTTCAAACACGCTGGGCACACTGCTGCCTTGGGGCCTTTGATGACTCCTCCTCCTGCCTGTAATGTCCTTCCCCCAAGTATCTGTACAATCAGGTCCCTCACTTCTTAAAGTCTTTACTCAAAGCCTCTCAACGAAGCCTTCCATGGCCCTCTACCTAAAAAGACTGAAATTCTTCACACAAGGTTTCCTACCCCATGTCTCTTTAATTTTTCTCCTTAATGTATCTCACTATCTAACATACTATACCTTTACTTATTGTAATTAGTGTCTGTCTTCACTACTAGCACTGAGACGCCATGAGAGCGACGTTTGTTTCGTGCGCCACTATACCTCTAGCATCAAGAAGAGTGTTAGACCCATAGTATGTACGCCATTCGAATGACTGAGAATCCTTTAAGGTTAGAGGCACGGGCCATCAAGAAATGAGCAGATTCTCTCAGCAGAATCCCTGAAAGGCTCAGAAATTAGAAGCACCAGTTACCCTGAAGGAGAGGGTGAGGGAGATAACTAAAATGTTTGAAAGTCTGTGGAGAGAACACCTAATATTCCCAGATTCCCAGATCCTGCTCTGTTCTCCACCTCCAATGCTCTTCCTGCCCCCACAGAAGATGGGAAATGTACTATCTGAAGAGGATAAACCAAAAGGAATTGAGACTTTGACTCCAAACTTAGCTGAACAAGGAAGGAATAAGTCTCCTGCCTGACTGGAAACAGGTACTTAAGCCTAAGTCTCCAATCACACTGAGCAGTGAGCCTCCTTGGCACACTCACTCACTGGAGTCACAGCCAAGCTCCCTGCCACCCAGCGCAGGCAGGAGTTTAAAGAATTATTCTCTGGAGACCGACAGCCCAAGAATAACAGTCTGCAAATATAGGCATTTTGAGGTTGCAACAAAAAAAGCTAAATTGTCTTGCCCAATCACCTCACTGCGATCCAAGCCAGTACACAAGGCCCACCTCTGACCAAAGCTCCGAGTCAGCTTTTCAGTGGCTCACTCTTAAATACAGATGGCCACGGACCACCAGACCTTTGAGAAAAGCTTCTAGCAAGAAAGACAAAAACTCATGTCCTTCAATTCTAGAATATCATCTGAACCTTACATGAATGCTAGTAAGTTTTTTTCCTACACACATACCTGTGGTGAAGTTTAATTTATAAATAAGGCACAGAAAGAGATTAACAACAATAACCAATAATAAAATAGAACACTATCCTATAATAAGTGATGTGAAATGTGGTCCCTCTCTCTCTGATAACTGAGACAGCTATTAAATGACTAAAGGGCGGGGAGTTTCTACAGCATGGACACATTGGACAAAGGGATGATTCATGTCCCAGGCAGGACAGAGCAGGACAGTGCAAGATTTCAATACATTACTCAGAACGGTACACAATTTAAAACTTATGAACTGTTTATTTCTGGAATATTCCACTTGATATTTTCAGACTGCAGTTGACTGTAACTGCAACTGTGGAAAGCAAAACCGCAGATGAGGGCGAAGTACTAAATTGCACTTATGGTTCAGAATTATTTAATTTATACGAAATCAAACCTACCCATATTTTTTTTGTCTTCTACCTTTGACGTCTTGCTTAGAAAATTCTACCTCGATATTTTATATTGGACCTACTTTTTTCTAGTCATTTATGGTTTGTTTGGTTTTTTTCTACATCAAAATATTTAATCCATCTGGAATAACGTGTTAGCTACACATATAGATACATACAGAAAATACACACATAGAATACAGAAAAAAATAGAAGAAACAAAGCACATTTCTGCATGTGGTTAAATCTTTTATATGCCTCATACAGCTCTGAATTGCTTCAGATGGATCTCCTTAATTTATTCTGAGGTTTTAATATTTTGCTGCTATAGTAAATATTTTCCATTACATTTTTAAACTGGTTAATGTTGGAAGATAAGAAAGCCTTCTGATTTATATTTGTATTTCGTGATGGGGATCTGAGTTTTTTTCTAGTTCTAAATTGTTTTACAGTTGATTCTTATGGCTGTCCAGGTACACAAGACTATTATTTTTTCCTTTTAATATTTATATTTATGCAATTTCTAGATGTGCCATCAATCAGCCTTGTCAAGTGAGACAAGTCCGCCAGCCATTAGGTCCTGTGGCCACTCTGTAGAGCAGGGGTCCCTAACCCCAGAGCCACGGACCTGTACTGGTCCATGGCCTGTTAGGAACTGGGCCACACAGAAGCAGGTGAGCCAGTGAAGCTTCCTCTGTATTTGCAGCCATTCCCCAGCACCAGCATCACCACCTCAGCTCCACCTCAGATCAATAGGCATTAGATTCCCATAGAAGCTCTGGTCCCTGGTACCAGAAAGGTTGGGGACCACTGCACTAGAAGCTACAAAAAGGTAAGAAAAGATTCTCCCCCACAGGCTTCAGAGCACATGGCCTCCAGAACTGTAAGACAATCCATCTCTACTGTTTTAAGCCACCCAGTATGTGGTGCTCTGTGACAGCAGTCCTCACACACTGCCCATGCCTATTCACTTATGTATCTCTCTCACTGACTGGGCTAAAAAAAATCCATAAAGAATTATGTCTGCTTTAAACACTAGTGTATCTCTAGCACCTGGTCCACTGCCTCACGCAAGGTGGGCATTCAACGAAATGTGTGAAAGAAAGGTGCTTAGAAAAGAATTAGTTTTAGGTGAAAAGGTGTGTCCAACTCAAGTTTTGACGGAAATTTTTACAGAGCAACAGCTCTCAACCACTGAGTCATAGCACTGGTGCAGAACCACCAATTATAAGGTACAAGTAAGTGCTAGTAGTAACATTAAGGGCCAAAGTTTAGGAATTATTATTTTTTTAAAGAAACATAAATTAGAACCAATTCAACGTAGTCTCTATAATAAATGACACGCTCATTCTCTCACATTCTAATATGTTTTCTTGAATGTCAGTAGGAGAAGTGAAATTAAAAAGCATGTCAGAAACTGTATTTAATTCTGCAATACCCACGGAAGAGTATTTTACAGGAAAAACATATAAGAACTACTGCTATGGAGAAGGGAAGACATTGACTAGAAACAGTAGTCATAACGGTAATAATAAATAATGACTAGCAGTTATCAGACATACTATTTTCCAGGTACATAACTCTATGTATTTTATAAAATTTAATATATTTAACCTAACCTGGATTATTGCAATAGCTTCGTAATCAGTCTCACTGGATGCACACTTGCCCCTCTAGAAATCTATCCTAAACACAACAGCCAAAGTGATCCTTCTACAACATGTCAAACAATATCACACCCCTGCTCAAAACATGGCTCCCACCTCACCCAGAGGAAAAGCCCAAGTCCTTGCAAAGGCCAGGCGTCACCAGGACCTTAAGGCCTCTCTCACTTCATCGCTTAGCCTCCTCCTGTCACATCCTCAGATCCCACTCACTGGCCTCCTTGCTGCTTTATCCTGCCAAGCACCCTCCGCCTCACATTTTTCTCCTTGCTGTTCCCCTCTACTAACCCACCTTTCCCCCAAGACGAATCTGCAGGACTTACATGCCCACTTTCTTCAGTTTCCTGCTCTACACAGTAAAGCCTTCCCTGACCCCTCAGCAACAGATATACAGAGTATAGGATTACTATGAACCAAAAGCCTTCCTCCACATTTCAAGCTTTTGCTAAAAGTACTCAGTAAAATTTTTATGTCTTAAAACTTTTAAATGACATATAATGATGTTTTTATGAGGAATATATACCTGTAGCTGTTGAAGATCATCTTCCTGAATGTTCTGGGATAAATTATAAATCTAGAAAACAAAAATCCAGATTGATACGACTCTAGCTTACTTCAAACAAAGCTCAAATAAGCCTAAAGCACTGAAAAGAAGTTTTGTACATTTAAAGGTTTGCATATAAGAATATGAAGTCTGTTCAAACAGTAATATTATGTCTTTTGAAAAACTATGCATGCACAGCTGAAATAACATAATTCTTCCTTTACAGTTTAAAAAATATTTTTCTTAAGTTCTTACCAAATCTACACTTCCTATATGATGTCACTGATATAATTTCAATTTCCACTTTGACTTTTCTTAGAGTTTTTTTTATATATATTTATGACCAAAATGGGATAGTTTAGGCTGCTTCTTGAGCTTGTAAATGTTAACTGATATCTGTAGTCTAAAAAGAACATTTGTATATCACCATAGGAGTTCTGACAACAGAACAATAACTAAAATTAGATGTACTCCCTTCACCTTATTTCCTCTACAAACTTTTTTCTCTAGTCAAATGGTTTTACCTGAACAGAACTGGTCATGGTGCTCAGAGCGAAGATGGTAGCGCAGTCTTTCACGGTGGACTGGCTGTCGAATGCCCCCTGGGTATCCATCAGAACAACTGCGACCTACAAAAAAAAGGGAAAAATACACACAAAACATGTTAAAGCAAGAAGGGGAAAAAGTAAAGGAGAAACGGAATAGTACAGGTAACATTTAAATGAGACGTAAACACCTGCTTGTAGGGTCTATCAGAAAGTATAATTATTTAGGTGCCTTGTTTTGACCAGAGAACTTTGCTGGAGATCATCTGCTCTGACCTAATGAAACAATAAAAAACCGGCTTACAGAGCAATACAGGAGCGGGAAAGCACCCCACCAACTAAGATGGCCAAATGTTGAGGCCAATTAGCTCACTCACCAAGCCAGTCATTTGGATGTTTAGTTGTTTTTGAAAAAGAAATTAAAAATATTAATTGACTTAGTTTAAACTTAGGCATAATCCAATAAAAGAAAACGTATGTATTGGAATATTTTTGGCCTTTACTGGCAAAGCTGTATTTTCTCAAATTTCTAAGGTGTTCTGGTTGTTTGATAAAAGAAAATTAACATTGAACCTTTATAAAAGATAGACCACACCAAAAAGGCCAAACTAAAGGAGAATGCAAGCTGTCTTCACACTCTATAAACATAGCTAGGCTTCATGAAGCCTTAGGTTTTCCAAAAAGGACTTAATGATCCATTCCCACCCTGAAAGTGCAATTAAAAAATTTAGCAACAAATAGCCAAAGACACAGTCAAAGTACTACAAGTGGCCGCCTCTGAAGAAGGGGACCAGCCAGGAGGAAGGATGCTCTTCTTTATTGTGAACAATGAAATGCTAATTAACTATTTAAACTACATTTATATATTACTTTCGTTAAAAAACAAAATGTTGCTGAAAAAAAAAAAAAGCAAGTAACTGATACATATAAAATCCGATTAAGACTACAAATAAAACACACAAAAGGAACTATCCAAAACCTATGATCTCCTATGTGTAATTCTGAAAGGTCAGTAGTGGCCAGGGGCTGAGAAGAGAGAGAAGAGGAATGACTGCTAATGGGGACTCAGTTTCTTTTGGGGGTGATCAAAATGTTCTGGAATTAGATGGTGGTGATATTTGCACAGCTTTGGGAGCATCCCAAAAACTGCTGAATTATATACTTTTTAAAGGATGAATTTTATGGTATGCAAATTATATCTCAATAACAAAGGGCTAATCATGGCATATATTTGCTAACTAGAAAAACGAGGCTAGACAGAGGAAGCAAGGGGAAACACTAAAGAGAAGCTCTTTTGAGGAGCGAGAGTCGCACGAACACTTAGATAAAGTGCTGAGTATATGGGGGAATGTATTCTCATCTCATGTGGCAGACCCCTAGTGCCATAACCACTTTCAAGAACAATTGGGCAGTAGCTGGAAAAAGGAAATGTGCATTCTCAGACCCAGCAATTCTACTTCTAAGTGGCTTTCTAACGTTTTTGGCTGGAACCCAAAGTAAGAAATATATTTTACATCATGACCAAAAATGCACATACATAAAGCTGGAACTAAATTTGTATGTGTATGGCACTCTGACACTTTCTACTCTGTTCTAGTTCTTTCTTTTTTAAATACTGGTCACAATTGTGCTTGCTTCGGCAGCACATATACTAAATACTGGTCATAAGCCAATAAATTGACTTCTCTACCTTAATGGGTCAGGGACAAAGTTCAAAACACTGTGGCCTGGAGACATGCTTGTACACTTACTCAAGGAGACATTTATCAAGCTGTTCACTGTAGCGGGATTATAAAAATTTTTTAAAAGGTAAATAATCTAAAAGCCCACCAGAAGGAAAATGGGTAAGTATGATATATTTGTATGATGATTACTATATAACGGTTAAAAGAAATAAACCAGAGCTACTCCTTTAAGAATGTTGATTTTTAATTACAAAGTAAAAACAAATGAATTATCTCTCTACTTCTTAAACCAGATAATTTCTAAACTAAAATCTCACCAAGTATATATATATATAAAAAAAAACCCAAGACAATCATGTTTAACTTATTTGGCTAACTTCTAAAGAACTGCTTATCAGTACGGCATTTATCCAATATCACATTGATTTTTA